GGGCGCATGCGCGGTGCGTTTGGCCAGGCGCTGCCTTTGCCTCAGGCCCCGCCACCTGCCCCCGGCTTCCCTCCGGGACGAGTAACCAACCCTCTGTGTGGCTCCGGCGTTACTGGTGCGTGCGCCCCGGCCTCTGCGCCTGAGCCGTCGCCCCGGCTGTACGCGCGGGCCTTCACCGTGAGGGGAAGGGAAGAGGCGGTGGCCCCGCACTGCTTCTCCGCCTGGCCGTCTTTGGGTGGGAGAGGCCTTGCGCTCCTCCCCCGCCGTGCCGGCGCTCCGGCTTCTGAACCCTCTGATCAACTTCAGTCACATCTGAAAGGGGCGAAGGCCTCAAAAATCAGAGTTTATGAGGAGTGTAAGCATCCATGTAGAGGAGAGCAATACAGTCAGGGTTTTTGCATCATCAGTGGACAGAGTAGGAGCTCAGCCATCAGGTCCACAATCTAGCAGTAGCCAGAATAATCAAGTAGCACGGATTTTTTTCCCCTCTAAATCACAGGTGACCTCTTAGTGTCTGTAAACTCTTGGAATCTGTAAAAGATTGTGGAATACATACACTGGGTCTGATTTACCACTCCACTGGTTTAAGCCCTGCCGGGACCGGAGACCACGTTGCCATTGCCCCTCCCCCACCCTCAGCCGGTCAGGCTGGCAGTGAGGTACAAACCCCGGGTTAAAATAAGAAATCTAAACAACAGTGTGATAAACAATCTGAACAACAACAGTAGCAATGATAACAACAATAAACAGCAATAACAGTAAGCAAGACAAAAGATATACAGAGAAATACTGCAAATGGTTACGGAACAAGCCTGCCGTGAGCTCCCCATCACCAAAGCCACAAAGGAAAAAGTTCCCGTGCTCCCGCACCTGGACCTGACATCAGCATGGTATGAATAACTGGCTGGAGATCCCTTCCCCCTCTCCCTCTTAATCCTATCCCAGCTGAACCAGGACACACTCCTATACATAAATGTTGGGAAACAAAGCAAGCATGCAAACTACACACACTGCACCCAAGTAACTCAGGCTTCTAAGGCCTTAGAAGAAAGACTGGCATGTCATCCAAATAAGGTGCTGAAAACAGAAGAAAAAGTAATGGGAGAAAAAATAGTCTTTCTTCAGAAATCTTCAAAGGAAACTTGTATGAAGCAGTAATAAAGTAATGACAAATTAAGAGTGAAATGAAATAAGCAGAAAGGACTAGGAAATGAAAGTAAAACAAACTTAATTCTTCCACAGAAAAAGCCTCCAACTGAGGAAGCTCCACTGAGAGCAGAATGCTGTATCACATCTCAGCACATCAGCTGAGAGCACAATTTGAACTGCAGGAAAATTTAGGCTGGGAAAGGGCCTCTGGAGATACCTGGCTTCCTTCTGAAAGCAAGGCATTACATCAAGGGCCCTGTCAAGCCAAGTCTGGAATATTTCTATTGAGGAAACTCCCACTACTAGTCTGGACAATATATTCCAGTGTCTAATTGTTTTTACAGTGAAGAGTATTTTTCCTCATACCTGGACAGAATTTACCCTGAAGAAATGTGTTCCAATTTTCCCTCATCCTGTGCAGCCCCTGTGAAAGGGAATCCAACTTCTAGGAGTTGGAAAACTGTGGCTGAATCTCCCCTGATCCACCCTTTCTCTAAGCTGAATAAACCCTGTTTCTTCCAGTATGTGCCAAGCTCCCCAGTCCTGTAAGCATTGTGTTGGTCCTCCACTGGACCTTCTCCAATTTTTCACTCTCTCTCTTGAACTGTCCAGGACCAAAACTGAACACAATAACCCAAATACTATTTATCATTTTGCTACAAAACTTGAAATGAAGTCAAGGATATTTTGCCTCACCTCAGAATCACAGGTTCCCTAAAACCCCACCATGAAAACCATGCCTGCTTTGGCAGCTCAGGGACATCTAACCATACAGGTGAAACCCCATCTCAGGAAGAGACTGTTCCAACAACCTTAGACTATCCAACAGACTTCTCTAGGAAGTTAATCACAGGCACCACAGCCTCCTGTTCTGTATGCAAGGTGCAGTTTTTCAAACTAAAAAAAAAAAACAACACACACACACAAAAATATCTTTAACACTACCCAAAGTAAACCATTACAATATACGAGTCGGCTCTACTTCCCAGATAGCCTTTTGTGGGTCTCTATTCAGCAAAAAGGCTTATTCTGCAAATAGCTGCGGCCGCTCCCACCACCGATCACCGCCGGTGCCTCCCTTCTCCTGCCTGGGACGCCACCGGTGTGGAAAACCCTGACACAGCAGTGACCGGCCCGAGAAACTCGGGAGATGGAAAGTGAAGGATACACTTCAGTATGTTTGGGGTTTTTTTAAACTCATGGTTCCTGTTAAAGATTTGCTTTTAAATATTCAGGAGTAGGACCGAGTCGTGCCCGTCGCTCCAGGTGCCGGGCGCGGCCGCCGGAGGGCCCGTGCCGTCACACACCGAACCCGCAAACGAAACCGAAAGAGGCGCCGGGGCTGGGATAAAGCGGGGCAGGG